CCCCAAAACCCCAAAACCCCAAAACCCCAAAACCCCAAAACCCCTCTAGCTAAAATAAAATCTATATTCAAGTTAAGGATTTAAATTGTCTGTTAAATATCATATATGTGCAAATTTGAATTTTCAGGATATTCAAGGATAATTATCTTGATTCAAGACCCTCATTGGTCAGATCCTTTAATAATGCCCTTGCAAATCACCTCTAGCTTTTCCATCACTGCCATTTTAACTAAAGAATATCATGTCTATCTGATTATCTTTGTTTTCTAATCTTAATGCTGATTTTTCTGCCTCTTTACTAGATATAAACTGATATTTTTTAGCAATGATCATTATTCCACAGATACAGGTAACTGATCCAAGAGCAATTAAGAGCATATTCCACCAGGAATAGTATTAGAACTCATTAAAAATCAAACCCCCACATAATAAGTTATTAAGTATTACCGAGCTCTGGTAAATTGGAATAACTTCGAGTTAATTATAGAATTTGAGTCCTGTATTCAAAGTATATAGCTATCCAATAATGTTGAATCCACATATTGCTAAGCAGATATAAGGTAAAGGATGAGTAGCCAGTTCATACATAGTGTGGTTTTTCGTTATTTCGGCAACCCCTTTTATGAAAGAAGTGGTCATACCAGAGAGAAGTCCTGAAGCCCAAGGATATAAGATCAAAGGCAGTCTTATCCAAAATTTTTAAAAATTGGGAGATAATTTTTTCAAATCTTTTTCATCCATCTTACTAACTCTATCAATTAGTTAGGTAATGGTTGGTTCATCATTGCATCCCTTAAATTATCCACCTACATCATACTTAGGACATTTTTCACAATCTTTTTCATTCTCATCCTTCAAACTATTATAGGTCGGAGTTCTAACAAAATCGAACTAGGTCTATTGAGTTGTTTTAAATGGTATTTGCGAGCCATCTTTGTCTGTGGTAGCGTTATAGATTGAGTTGGTGTTGCTGTTAGACGCCTGGTCAAAATCATTTTAAGGCCTTTAGATTTGAGATCTGAATCTGCTAATTTACTCAACTCTATCACTGTCACTCTCCCGACACTAAGATCTTGGCGACCCAATATTATCTTCCTCAAAAGAAAAATGTTTGATTAATGATTATCTGTTCTGATTTAATCTTTTTTTTTCTTATATATCTTCTCTCTCCTTGCTTAAGAAGGTTTCTAGGAGCTCTCTACATTAAATGATAAGAAAAGTTATTAGAATTACCCTTTTCTTGTGGCTTCCTTATAGAGATTTTGAATTTGCTGAATTACTCTAGACATTATAAATGATTCAAATATATTGTTACCTCTCACCTAGCTTGAATGAAAAAATTATGAATAGCACTGTAAAAATCATAAGCAGTAATGATTAAAGCGATGTATATCTTTCAACAAGAGTCTAATATATTTATGTTATGTAAATCTCTAAGTATTACTGGGATTGTAAACAGTATTGGTTCATAGTTGGAAAGTACGACACAAAGAGAGGCCCCTATAGAGATCAGCATAATTGAGAGGAAATCATATCAAGTAAAGACCTCTCCCAATAGTCTTGTAGCCAAGATAGAATTGAATACAAGAGTCAAAGATGAAGTAGAGGTAAGAGTTATTTGATCTGCATAAGCTATGCTAACTACAACGACAATAAATAACCAGTTGATTTTGATGAGAGAAAATAAGAATTGATGTGAGCTATACTTACCAACATTGATTGCAGCTGCAAGAATAATAAGAAGTAATCCACAGATAAACTGCCAGGTAAGAAAGTAGTATTGCTTGTTATCCTTATTTCTTTCCATGCGAATATGAGCAAACTTGAAGAATATATATCCAAGTGAGTTTATGAAGTTTGCCAGAGTGACAGCCAAAAGAGCTATTGCAGCCTGATTCATAATCACAATTTTTAAAATATTACGTTAATTCTTGCTTGAAAGTATAGATCCTCTTTAACTCAGCAAATCTATCACAGCGGGGTTTTGGGGTTTTGGGGAGATCGGAA